TCTCTTTCACCTCTGTCTCCGTGTCTGGTCGGAATTACAAAGCATTCAACAACAATAACAATAAAGTTTTAAGTATCAGGCGTGACATTCAAAGCAAACGCTTTGATGCTCCACCTGAGAATAAATCTGTAAGGCTTGTCACCAGCATTCAGACATCAATTCTGCTTGCTTCACAGCCAGACAGGACACGGTAAAAAAAAAAAAAAAAAAAAAAGAATGCAACCTTGGTGTGACACCTCAGACTTTGATGGTTCTCCTGGTAATTCCATAAGAGAATGCAATGCTGTTTGTTTTTTTCAGGCACTGTAATTTCCGAATCTGCTTAGGGGCTTGTGCCTGCCGATGACGCCATCATACTACGTCCAAAATATATTGCATCTCTTTTTCAAATCTGTCCTTTTATGTATGTTTTGAAAAGAGTTTAGCAGTTTTGTTATTAAATTCATGTCTCTTACTGCCTAAATGTTTTTGAACGAGGTAACGTTGCTTCCAAACGTTGTATGTTCAGCCAGTGATCTGGTGTGACATCGACAGGCGCAGGACTCCAAGCTGGCCAGAAGGAAACATGGAGTCCCCCAAAGAGGCTAGACCCGCACCTAATGTACTTTAGACCTGATTTTTATGGTTATAGACCCTTTTACTACCTACGTCATCAAAAGTTGCATGCACAGCCTGGCAACGAGAGTGAAGGCTTCCTCATTCACACTCGATACTAAAACAGCATTTTAAACCCTTTGTTTTGAAGTTCTGAGCACATAAAAATGTCTGGTTGTTGCGTGGATGCCAGAATCGCTTCTCTTCAAGCAGTGGACTGAAACTTTACAGAATTCCGAAGGGAGCACATCCATTTCAACAAAAGATGTAACTGCAGCCTTTTCTGTTTTTCCCATCCTAACACAAAGCTCAACTTTGAATAAAATTGCTGCTGCGTGGCTGCAGCATGACCCAAGTCTGGAACATCAAAATGACAGAATTAAACAAATTTATACGCTTTATTTCATGCTTCAAATTAACACTTCATTCTAATTCATCTGTATTTTCCCACTGCATATTAGTATAAACTGTATTTCTCTAAAATTAACACGATTGTACTCTGAGCACGCTATAAAAAGAAATCTATGCTATACTCACCCTGCCATGCAGGTACAATTGGCTGTGAAGACGTAGTTCTCTGGTTTGTTTACTATGACCCAAGCCTCGTACATAGCAGTCTTGTGTCCTTGTCTTTGGCTAGGAAGGACTTCTGCCTTCAAGACGCAAAACTCAGAGTCTATGTCGTGATATTTTACTTTCTGTACATGGCCACAGACAACATAGTTGTATGCTGCTAACGATTTGTATGCCCATAGCTTCTCACGTGTGTACTTACTGGGCCTCTCCACTAAAAACGTATATATATCGGGCCACTGGATATCTGGCCATGCACCTACATCTTCCACCCATTCCGTAATGCCACAGGGATCCAGGAGTCTGTTGCCATTCGTTAAAGTGAGTTTAATAATATAACATTCAAGATTTGCCGGTGATAACCCCGCAGCGTAGCTTGATAAAGCCTGACACAACGCCATTCTCTGTTGACAAGCTGCGCGCGCATTCTTGCTGACGTCATATTGTTTACAAACAGTAAAAGGGTCTATATGGTAAGAAGTCGCCAATATTTTCCAACAACTGGACATCATTTTATTCATTTTCAACATTCTGATGGATATTTCCAGAGACTAAAAGTAAAAACTACTGATCGTCTGTGTTGCCATCTTAGCGACTTTGTCACCATTTCTAATGACTTTTCAGACCCCCTTAACGACTTTTTTTCAAAAAAGCGCCTGGCGACAAATCTGGCGACATTTCTGACCCCCCTCAGCTACTTTGACTACAACTTTGTTGCCGACTTTACCTGCAGATTAGAGATGCATCTGAAGCGACAGGACCGTCCTTCCTTCCAGAGGATCAGAAAGAAAATGATCTGCGCATGTGCAAGCAGCATGATCACGCTACCCCCATTGACCAATCAAACCTTTTGTGGGTTTTTACAAGTCCATTATTTGAGATAGCTACCGGAGCTACATAAAGGGCGACCACTCCTTCCTGCCGCATTTCGGCAGCTGAGCTCGGCTGGCACTGGCAGGCAGCGTTGCACTCGCACATGGCTTCTCACACCACCTGTGGTGCATTCAACAAACATTGGAACTCTATGAGTTCAATAACGTAGCACATTTAAAACTTTTATAAAAAACAGAATAATACTGTAAGACAAACACCTCAGGTCATTGGCAGTTTGCATGTAACGTTTCTGAATACTAAATACGGCCTGCTTCTTTTTACACAAAAGTACTAAAAGCAACAAAACCAAACAAAAATAAAATATATATATATATATTATCAATTAGGTCAATATATAGCACTGAATCACAACAAAAGACATCTCAAGGCATAATTCAATCATACATACATTCCTATCAATTTAATATTTTTGTGTTTACACGTTCCATTCTCTTCAGACAAAATATAAATATTCCTTCCATTTTTTGTGCCATCTTTCCTTGATGTTTTAAAGGCAGCTGTTGTGTGTTCTATGGGGTTTTTATTTTAATAAAATATTAAAAAATAAATTAAACATTTTTTAAATAAAATCATGCAGGTTTTATTTGATTTACGCTACAAGACCGGTGACGTCATGATGCAAACGTGGTGACGCCATCACGCAAACCAGATGACGTCATCACATCGTATGCAAATTAGCCTGTGACGTCATCTGCCAACATCTAGTGACTTTTAGGGGAACTTCAGCTACTGTCAGTCAAAAAAGATGGCGACACTGCTGATCGTCTCTTTAAAGACTTAATTAAAGACCATAATCAAAAGGTTGCAGGTTCAAGCCCCGCTCAGTTTGTCGCTGTTGTTGTGTCCTTGGACAAGACACTTAACCCCCTTGCCTGCTGGTGGCGGTCGGAGGGGCCGTTGACACCAGAGCTCGGCAGCCTCACCTCTGTCAGTGCCCCCAGGGCAGCTATGGCTATATCGTAGCTTATCCCCACCAGGGTGTGAATGGGTGAATGACTGATTGTGTTGTAAAGTGCCTTGGGGGTTCCAGATCACTTAGGCCCTGTCCACGCGTAGCCGGGGATCTGCCAAAATGTAGATATTTTTCTACGTTTTGGCCTGCCATCCACACGAAAACGGAGTTTTTTCACATGAAAACGGATCTTTTTAAAAACTCCGGCCAAAGTGAAGATCTGCGTTTTCTCCGTTTTGGGTGTCTGCTTGTGGACGGACAAAACCGGAGTTTTAAGGTCCGCAACGTCACTTTCCGCGACAAAAAAATGCTGACATCACGTGTGCGACCTGTGTTTACACTAGCCGGCATCATGGAAGCCCTCAGAGCTGCGCTCGATGTCACTACCACTACCCGATCCATCAATTGTTCAAGCGCTTTCTGCTTGTTTGTTTTTGCAAGCGGCATTACTGCTCCTTGCGGAAGACCACAGACGAAGGACGAGGGTAAGAACGGGGGAATTACTGCCGCCTACAGGCCTGGCATGTCCTTAACAACGTATTTATCCGGGTACGTGTGGACAGAGTTTTTTTTTTAAACGCGGTGGTGTGGATGCAAGTTTTTGGAGGGGCAGATATTCGTTTTTAAAAAACCCCGGCTACGTGTGGACTAAGCCTTAGAAGGTGCTATATCAAATACAGGCCATTTACCATTTTTACCATTTACTTACATGTCTCCAACTCCAGATTGCTGCTTTAAAGAGTTGTTTGGCATCACCATTTTCATAAGACACACTGTGCCTTCAAATCAGCGTAATGCTGCTGCCACAGTGTGTCTTATGAAAGCACCGTGGCAGCATGGCGCCAAGCTTGGTAGTAATGTTACTGCAACGCCGGACTTGTAAATGAAGATTACGCCTTGGCTCAACAGAGGGTTGTGAGGGTTTATGGATTTGTAAGGGTGGTGTCATCATCACATTTTTAATCTCCTCTGAGCAACTATACTGAAGTAAAGTAAACACGAGCATAAGTTTCTCTTTGTTAAGCAGAATCAGCTGAGATGGCAAACTGGAGCGATGCAGAGTTCTGGGAGCTTCTCGCCATTAGAGCTGGAGCTCAGATCAGCAGCCAGTACACTCAAACCGTAGAGAACAGACACCTTTAGGAACGGCTTGTGGAAAAAAACCTAAGGAGCGTGGCTTCAATCGCAATAACAAATAAGTTATATCCAAGATAAAAGGTAGTCTGCGACAGCACAGAGAAAGCCCCATGCCCCCTTTAAAGCTCCATCGTGTAATCTTTTCGTGAAATGCACATTACCACCACATTCTGACCGCTTATGAACGACCTAAGGCTCCCTGATGCCGACAGCTTTGCGGCAAATTGGCAGCATTTTTTTATGAAAGAGGCCAGGCCTCCATTGAGCCAAATAGCAATTCAATTCAATTCAATTCAAAAAGACTTTATTGATTTGGAAATTGATTAAAAGGCTCATGCATAAGAACATTGTTCCCATTGTAGCTTCTATTGTGTTTTAGGATCCATTTTTCAAAATTTTATTTTATTTTGTTGTTCCTGGAATGTCACATTCTCATTTTTGGTCCATCTCGGCCTAGCTCTTAGGCCTCTGCAAGCACTTTGGGAATAATGACCAATGCTTGGAGACCGCTGGGATTAAATATCTCGTGTTTGTTATTAATCTCCAGCAGTTTCAGCCCAGATCATGCTAGGAACATTTTTATAAGTGTTACCATACCTGACTCAAGATATGATCACGGAAAAATGGCTCATGAACAAGGACAGACTCGTCTATGACTGGTAGACATCACTGATTCATACAGGAAGTGTGTGAAACCATTAATCAGTCATGTGACCTCAGAAAACATCCAGTATGTTCACTTAAACATTGTTAATGTGCTGAAGTCATGGAGAACTTTTGTGATTCAGTCCCAACAGATGAGAATAAATGTAAATCCCTCTCAGTTTGTTGTTTTTGCTTCTTTCTGCAGGTTATTCCCACTGGAAAGGCCAGGTGCTGACAGCAGACGAGCTGCACGTCCTTTATGAGGGGATCAAACTCAACAATGTGCATCACTACGACTATGTACTAACAGGTGGGTGTGCTTCATCACCTGCCACTAGCTTGAGTCCATCATCACCCTAACCCTGTGTGTGTGTTATCAGGGTATACCAGAGACACGTCCTTCTTAGAGATGGTGGTGGACATTGTTCAGGAGCTAAAGAGAGCCAATCCTAACCTGGTCTATGGTGAGCCAGTATCACATTTATTTTTTGAGTAGATTTCATCTCCAGCAGGAGTTTATTAATATGTGTGAAATAAAGTTTTAAAGGCGATGTTTACGCAAACCTCTGGTATGTAGGAGAGGCTCTGCAGGAAGTTTTGTTGATTGAGTAAAAGTCACTTTTATGACCATAACCACCTTTAAAAAGTGTGTAAGGTGAGTTATGTGTGATGTCACAAGGATCTTTCCCGCACAATAACGTTGCAGCTTTTCCTGCTGATGGCTTGTTTCCAGATGCCAGGGTTAGACATATAAGCAACCAGAAAACAACATGCTCAGCCTGTTTATGTAGGCACAGAGAGTCCTGAGCCGCTGCTGGAGCTTCCACACATCACAGTCCTTTAACCTTCTGTTATAAAGAGGAAAAAGAACTTCATCGGGTCGTTTATGCAGGCCGATGTTCACGTTTCATGAGGACAACAAAAGGAACTACCTCTTTCCTGTGGTCAATCTTCACTCATCCTTTAATAATAACACAGAATCAGCGTGCTCCTTGGTTTTAAAACAAGTATGAGTTTTTGTGATCTGTGATCTGCCGATGCTGCTTCATCTGGTGACGGGTTCCTGACTTTGCTGTGTTTCTTTCTCAGTGTGTGACCCCGTCCTCGGTGATCACGGATCTATGGTGAGATCATAAATAGATGATCACGTATTTTAACTTGTTTGTACTGTTTTTGCTCGTATTTGTCATTTATGCTGACAGACCAGGCTTTTGTGTTTTTATCATTTTATAGAATATTGGAACAGGCCTCTCTTCAAAATGACCGTGAAGTTCTTAGTGAGATTCTTCCTGTATAAGCAAAGATTAGATTAATAAATAAAAATGATATTCATTCCTTCAAACTGCAAAAAATGGTTTTGCATTTTTAAATTGTTTAACAAAAACGTTTAAAGTTTTTTTTTTAACAATCAATATGAATGTTTGTTTATGTTTTAATTACCTCACCAGGTCTCCCTTGAAAAAGAGGTTTTTAATCTCAATGGGATTTTCTTCCTGGCTAAATAAAGGTTAAATAAAGATGTGTGATTTGAACTTGTTTATCTCTCTTCACAGTACGTCCCTCAGAATCTTTATCCAGTCTACAAGAACAAGGTGGTTCCTGTTGCTGACATCATCACTCCTAACCAGTTTGAGGCAGAGTGAGTGTTGTTTATTTATTTATTTATACTAAGAGATAAACCGCAAATCTTCATCTTGTCTAATTGACCCTGTTTTGCTAATTATTTCATGCTTGGTTAAATATCTTTACTATTCTAATATAATATATCTAATTTAATATTCTGTCAGCACACCGCAGGGCAGCTGTGGCTACATCGTAGCTCATACCCCCCAGTGTGTGAATGTGTGTGTGAATGGGTGAATGATTGATTGTGTTGTGAAGCACCTTGGGGGGGGGTTCCAGGACTGTAGAAGGCGCTATATCAAATACAGGCCATTTACTGTAATATTAAGTAAAATTTAAGTCGGACCAAATACAAAATGTTCTACATAGATGTTTTTGTTACATTTTAACTAATTCTCTGTGAGTTATACAAGGTAACAGTAGTATAAGTTATTGTGTTTCCAGAACTCTTCAAATAATAAATATGTTTTTGGAGTTGGAAGCTAAACGTTATTTATCTGCAGAGTTTTAGATGAATAAAACTAGAAGTAGACTGATATATTGGGCTTATATACCTGTAATAGAGCTGATTTAGAGTCAGGCACATCCATGGGCAGCCTGGTGCTCCTGCTGCTGAATCACGTTCCTGACTGGTGTCGGTGCCGGATCTGTTTTCTTTATAGCTGTAATTTGTAAATAAATAACTATTGTCTGTGTTTTGTAAAGAATGTGAAACTACATAAAACCAGCATTACACTGTGTTCAAACAGCACAACAGTTCTTATATGTGATTTTTTTATTGTACTTACATAATTAGCAGCCCTGGCTGTTTGTATAAATGTTGAATCGCTCTGTATATTCCATTACTTCTTGTGTTTTATACTTGCTGTTTGTTCAGTAAAGTTAAATAAATTTCACCCCTTTTGTTCAAAGCTGCAAAGCTGATCAGGGTCTCTATGTAGTCATGATATTTTAGCTTTTATTTCTCATTTTTATTTTAACAGCATGCGCGTGTATTTCCCCCAAAATGTTTTTCTCATGTGACTGAATGAATTTGAGTATACGCTCACCTAAAGGATTATTAGGAACACATGTTCAGCTTCTCCTTAATGCAATTATCTAACCAACCAATCACATGGCAGTTGCTTCAATGCATTTAGGGGCGTGGTCCCGGTCAAGACAATCTCTTGAACTCCAAACTGAATGTCAGAATGGGAAAGAAAGTTGATTTAAGCAATTTTAAGCGTGGCATAGTTGTTTGTGCCAGACGGGCCAGTCTGAGTACAGTCTGCTCAGTTACTGGGATTTTCACCCACAACCATTTGTAGGGTTTACAAAGAATGGTATGAAAAGGAAAAAACATCCAGTATGCGGTAGTCCTATGGGCGAAAATGCCTTGTTGATGCTAGAGGTCAGAGGAGAATGGGCCGACTGATTCAAGCTGATAGAAGAGCAACTTTGTCTGAAATAACCACCCGCTCCAACCGAGGAATGCAGCAAAGCATTTGTGAAGCCACAACACGCACAACCTTGAGGCGGATGGGCTACAACAGCAGAAGACGCCACCTGGTACCACTCATCTCCACTACAAATAGGAAAAAGAGGCTACAATTTGCACAAGCTCACCAAAATTGGACGTTGAAGACTGGAAAAATGTTGCCTGGTCTGATGAGTCTCGATTTCTGTTGAGACATTCAAACGGTAGAGTCAGAATTTGGCGTAAACAGAATGAGAACATGGATCCATCATGCCTTGTTACCACTGTGCAGGCTGCTGGTGGTGGTGGTGTAATGGTGTGGGGGGTGTTTACTTGGCACACTTTAGGCCCCTTAGTCCCAACTGGGCATGGTTTAAATGCCACCGGCTACCTGAGCATTGTTTCTGACCATGTCCATCCCTTCATGACCACCATGTACCCATCCTCTGGTGGATACTTCCAGCAGGATAATGCACCATGTCATGAAGCTCCAATCATTTCAAATTGGTTTCTTGAACATGACGATGAGTTCACTGTACTACACTGGCCCCCACAGTCACCAGATCTCAACCTGATAGAGCATCTTTGGGATGTGGTGGAACGGGAGCTTCGTGCCCTGGATGTGCATCCCACAATTCTCCATCAACTGCAAGATGCTATTCTGTCAATATGGGCCAACATTTCTAAAGAATGCTTTCAGCACCTTGTTGAATCAATGCCACGTAGAATTAAGGCAGTTCTGAAGGTGAAAGGGGGTCACACACTGTATTAGTATGGTGTTCCTAATAATCCTTTAGGTGAGTGTGTGTATGTATATATGTATGTATATGTATGTGTATGTATATGTATGTGTATGTATATATATATATATATATATATATATATATATATATATATATATATATATATATCTAAGTACGTCTTTCTAATGCTGCATATATTACTCAAAGGCAGTGAACTCTAAAGTTGAAACATTCAACATTATATGGTAGTCAAAGAATACATTACAATTTAAATACATCAGCTATGGTAATGATGGATTTCTTAGTAAAAATAATTTCCTACGAAGAAGCAAAACTACAATCGCAAATTTGTCCAGACTAATCAAATTCTTCATTGTGAACGTGCTAACGTAACTTTTACAAATGTAGGAACGTAACTTCCACTAGTCGTGTGCCCAACCAATCATCTAGTGCAACGTCATCAGCAGGCGCAGGCCGCTGAGTTCATCTGGCACCCCGAGCAGATCCGATACCGACACCAGCTCAGTTAATGCTCTAAAACTAGTTAACTGACATTTCTTTGTATTTATCTGTTTTATATTTAATTCAGTTCATGGATTTATTTGATTAACTTTGGTTAAATGTCAGATTTTAATACTCAGTAGATCACAGAAATAAGATTCAACAATTGGTTGAATTCAGAGTTCAACAAATTATCAGGTTTATAGACAAAATAAGACCTAGATCTGAATGAATGAAGTATTCTTATTAAATACATTGTGCTTTACATAGCTGAATGTGCGGACAACAAAATCACACAAACTTAACAACCCATGGAGGTCTGGATTTGGAGTAATTAAAGTGGAAAAACACAACAGGTGGATCCAACTCTGATGTAATGACTTTAAAACAAGTCAGTATGAGGCTCAAAAGTGTGTGTGTGTGTGTGTGTGTGTGTGTGACCTCCCTACAACGCCTCAGCGTGGATCTCCTCCCAGATCTGGACTAAAATCATCCACCATCTCCTGGACAGATGTGGTGCAATGTGGCATTAGTGGATGAAGCGAGACATGATGTCCTAGATGTGCTCAGTTGGATTGAGGTGTGGGGGACGGGCGGGCCAGTCTCTGGTCTCACAAAGGGTCTGAAGATCTCACCTCGTTACCTAATGGCAGTCAGGCCAAAACATCATACAGAAAGCAAAGGAACTGAGAAGTGGTCTGTGGTCACCACCTGCAGAATCATTCCTTTTGTGGGGTTGCCTTGCTAATTGTCTAATTTCCATCTGTTTATTCCATTTGCACAATAGCAGGTGAAACTGATGTTCAGTCAGCGTTGCTTCCTAAGTAGACAGTTTGATTTCACAGAAGTGTGATGGACTCCGAGTTGCATTGTGTTGTTTAAGTGTTCCCTTTATTTTTTTGAGCAGTGTAGTTTTGTAAATCTAACTATCCTGTTACAACTTTGGCAGCTTATCTACAACTAATTAAATCTAATGATAATTAGTTTATGAAATAATAGCAGAAAGATTAGATGAAATAAATCTGATGGCAGCAACATAATAATGGAGTCAATCTGCTGACTAATGGATTAACTGTTGTTTTTGTTTTCTTAGATTATTAACAGGAAAAAACATCAGCACAGAGAAAGATGCTGTTGAGGTAAATGTTAACCCCTGCCGGACTGGTTGTCTTGCTCTCACAAGGACCTGCTGCCTCAGACTCTGTGTTGTGATTTATCTAAAGGTGATGGACCTGCTCCACGCCATGGGCCCAGACACGGTGGTCATTACCTCCTCCGATCTTCCTCCCAGACTGGGAGACCGCTTCCTTGTTTCACTGGGTAGCCAACGTCATGGTAGGCTCAGCAAACTGGATGTGAGACATTCTCACACTCATTTACTCCTTAAATGGGACCAAACCAGTGGAACAGGTTCTCTCCTCCTTCTCCTCCTCAGTTCGTCCAGATGGCAGCAGGACGACACAGAGAGTTAGAATAGAAGTTCCCAAAGTGGACGCTGTTTTTGTAGGAACCGGAGACCTGTTTGCTGCCATGCTGCTGGCGTGGACGCATCACTACCCTAATGACCTAAAGGTAAACACACACACACGTGACACAGGGCAGAAGAGTAAAGCCTGGTTTATCCTTCTCCGTGAGCTCCATAATGGAGAGACACACATGTTATGTCGGAAAGGCTTTCACATTTGAACTTTTGTTCAGGCAGCGACGTTTTGCAGAACAATTCCCCATCAGGACAGCAGAGGGCGTAGCGCTGTTCTGTGGTATCCTACCACCAAGACACTCATGCATCCGGTCCACGATAGTGTATTTACTAATGTGTTTTTATATTTCAAAGATTTTATTACATGGACAAATTTGTGCTTCATTCTTCTACACCTCTTCGTGCGGTCGCCACACGACGTTTCCCGTCGTGTTCATCCACATTTGCTTCGTATTTTGTACTCCTTCAGTCACGGGTGAATAAACGTTCATATTTGCGAACTTTTTTGCGATGCGTTCTTCAATCTGTTCTGGGTCTGCCGCTAAATATCTGTTTACTTTTTAACGAGGCAACAGCAGTGCTGGTAAGAAGTTTACAGGAAGCGGCGTCCTGACCATTAACAAGCTTGCGGTCTCTGTCACTTTCGATGGATATTTGGGCATGTCTCCATCACCCTCTGGGAGCCTGTCGGAGAGCCCTTGCACTGACACATAATGGCGTTTTGTGTCTCTGTATCGATGCAGACGGAGGAGTATAAACCAAGCTTAACTGTGACTCTGGTGTGGTGTTTCCTGCAGATGGCCTGTGAGAAGACATTTTCAGTGATGCACCACGTTATCCAAAGGACCATATCTTATGCTCATGGTGAGATACTATGGATTAAAACTCAGCATGTGTACATCCCATATTCAGTCTAAAATCACTTTTTCTTATTTTTGTTTGTTTGAACCTTTGGCGCATTGTGGATTGGGTAGCAGACCAAAGTGGGAGCATTGGTGGTCCGATCCCCAGACAGGGAAACTGACTATTGAGACATGGAATGCCACCTCTCTGGCAGGGAAGGACCTAGAGCTTGTGGAAGAGGCTGAGCGGAATCAGCTAGATATAGTCGGACTCACCTCGACACATAGCAATGCCTCTGGAAGTCCTTGAGAGGAGTTGGACTCTTTTCTTTGCTGGAGTTGCTCCGGGTGAGAGATGGAGAGTGGGCGTTGGCTTTCTGTTAGCCCCAAAACTTTCAGGGGTTTACCCAACAGGTGTGTTGGGGTTTACCCCAAAGCACACGAGGGTAGCTTCTCTGCACCTTTGGGTCAGAGAACGGGCCCTGTCGTTTGTGCTCATGCACCATTTTTGGAGTCCCTAGGACAAGTGCTAGATGGTGCTCTGACTGGGGACTCTATTGTCCTGATGGGGGACTTCAATGCTCACGTGGGCAGTGACAGCATGACCTGGAGGGGTGTGATTGGGAGGGACGGCCCGCCCAACTCAACTGAACTCACGTGGTGTTTTGTTATTGGACTTCTGTGCTAGTCGCAGTTTGGCCATAACAAACGCCATGTTCAAACATAAGGATGCCCATCGATATACATGGTACCAGGGCGCTTGTGTCATATGACTTGCAGCCGTATGTTTTGGACAGTCGGGTGAAGAGAGGAGCAGAGCTGTCAACTGATCACCACCTAATGGTGAGCTGGATCAGATGGCAGGGAAGATGTCACGCAGATACAGGAAGAGGCATCGGAGTTTGAGGAACTGATCCACATGTGTTTTGTGGTTTTGGAGAAGGCTTGTGACCGTGTTCCCAGAGGCACCCTATGGGGGTGCTCCAGGAGTATGGGGTGGATGGCCTTTTGCTTAGAGCCATTCAGTCCCATTACCAGAGGAGCGTGAGCTTGGTCCGCATAGCCGGCAGTAAGTCGGACCTGTTCCCAGTGAGGGTTGGACTCCGCCAGGGCTGCCCTTTGTCATTCATTACCTTTATGGACAGAATTCCTAGGCGCAGCCATTGTGTGGAGGGTGTCGAGTTTGGTGGCAGGAGAACCTTGTCTCTGCTGTTTGCAGATGATGTGGTCCTCCTACCTCCATCAAGCTCTGACTTCCAGCTCTATCTAGGTGGGTTTGTGGCAGAGTGTGAAACGACTGGGATGATGGTCAGTACCTCCAAAAAGAGTGGCATTCCAACTCCGGGTCAGGGGTGAGGTGCTGCTTCAAGTGGAGAAGTTTAAGTGTCTTGGGGTCTTATTCATGAATGAGGAAAGAAGGGAGCGAGAGATTGACATGCGGATTTGGGCATCCTCTGTAGTTGTGGACGCTGAACCAGAAGGCAAGGCTCTCGAGTTATTGGGCGATCTTCGACCCAACCCTCACCTATGGTCATGAGCTTTGGGTAATCCCTAAAAGAACAAGATCGTGGATACAAGTGGTTGAAATGAGTTTCCTCCGGAGGGTGGCTTGTTCAGCTGTGGAGATAGGGTGAGGAGCTCAGACATTTGGGAGGGACTTGTAGAGTAGAGCCACTGCTTCTCTGCATCATGAGGAGCCAGCTGAGGTAGTTTGGGCATGTTGTCAGGATGCTGCCTAGATGCCTTCCTGGTGTGGTGTTTCGGGCATTTCCTGCCAGCAGGAGGCCCCGAGGTCTTTCCAGGACACATTGGAGCAAGTACATCTCCAATCTGGCCCGGGAACACCTTGGGGTCCTGTCGGAGGAGCTGGTAGAGGTGGCTGAAGAGAGGGCTGTCTGGGATGCCGTACGTGAGACCCGGATTAGAGAAGGAAAGTGAACGAATGAAGGAATGAACCTTTTAAGTTTATTTTGGGTGATTTTTAAAATTCCATCCTACAAGTAAAAAAGAAATAGATACAATACAGAAGTTGGTTTAACCCTCCCACTGTCCTAATGGGTGTGACCCCGCGAGGAAAGTTGACCATTGAGCAGGGTTGATGGTTTATCCCTTGGGTCCGTGTGGCAGGGGTGAGGAGTGAGCACCACCTCACCCCTGCCACATGGACCTCAAGGAATAAACCATCAGCCCTGCTCAATGGTCAACTTTCCTCGCGGGGTCACACCCATTAGGACAGTGGGAGGGTTAATGGGACCAAAAAAGTGTAGGTAGGAACTTTTAATGACTTTATCAAAATTTAAGTTGGGAAATCTTTCATTTCTATGTCAGCCCACGCTGACATCCTGTCAAAAAGGAAAAAAGAAATAAATAGTTAATTATTTTTTTTTACAAAATCTTTAGACAAACTCAAAGAAAAATGTAAACAATTACCAACACTAAAGTGCTGATATTGTGATTGTATTCAATATAAATTATTAAATATATATTAGATGAAAATTTTGAATTCAGTTTTCAAAACTCAAGTTTTTTTAGATTTCAGTTATTGTGATAATGCCATTGTTGTTCCCAAGTTAATTTGTGCTTTTATGCGTGTCCTGCAGAGCTGGCCGGCCCCGGTCGGAGGCCTAGTCCGCCCCAGCTGGAGCTGAGGATGGTGCAGAGTAAAGCTGACATAGAAGACCCCGCTATAGTAACGGAGGCCACGGTCATATCCTAACATTAACATCCATCAGACTCATACTAACCTGGTTCTCCTCACCCATAAACCTCTCAAACACTGTAACCTGGTAAAAATATTTCATTGCTGTAAACATGTCTGTAAGCCCATCATCCAGACTCTTTCTGCATCACAGTGTTGTAATCCCCTTATCCTGTAACTGGCCCCTAAAGTCCCCCGTGTCCCGAGGCCAGACCCTCACCCTGTTTTAGAGCCAGAGCCACGGATACCATCAGAGTTTGATCCAGTTGGTTTTTGAAAGCACTTTAAAAAAGTAACTTAATGGCTTTGATGCTGAAGTTATATCCAAAAGCACAAAGAACTTCAAACCGCACAATAAAGCGGTGGAGTTCCCATCCGTCAGCCACCAATTATCAGCCCATTTCTGTGAAGTCAGTGATCGGCGTATTCTGATCAATGCCTTTAAAGCAACACTTAAAGCTGCTATCCAGAGTTTTCCCCTTTCAGGAATTGTGTATGGTTTTTCTGAAATCCATAAAAATGATCATCAGATACATCAGATGTGTATCAGAATCAATAGCACTTTATAAAAGTGACCTGGATCTGACTTTTTTTTAATTATGGATCTGTGCTGTTCAGGCTGTCTTAAAAAATCAGATATTGGTTGCATGTAGGAAAAATATCAGATTTGATGCGCTTTTGCCTGCTGTGTGAACTTAGCAAGTCTCCTCCCTTTCCTGTCAGCTCATGAGTCTCCGGAAGAACGAAAAAATGAATGCAAGTCAACGGGGCTAAAAGAGCTATTTTTAAATCCGCTTTGCCTTACGCCCTGGATCGCACGTATCTGCAATTTAAAATGAAAACTAATGATGGGTGTTTCCACCACGCCAGTCATGTAGTTTAAGATTTATCAGCTTGTAAAAGTTTGTAATTAGCATGACTACAAATCAGACATCGGCATGTCGCATCACCACATAATCTCCTCTCCTCTAGCGTAGCTGCTACTTACCACATGGCCAGATTTATGGTGGTTCGTCCCTCCTGAAGGAAGGATTTGAAGTTTGCTGAATTTACAACCATTTTTCCTCTGTTTTTCTCCTTGTCTGGTTCGATGACGTTGATTTGTTGATGCGCATTTGTAGTCCTGGACTTATTTTCACACAAAACCTAAAATAACATGTACCCCTGTTCATAAATAAGCATTTTCATGGAATCAGGAATTCACCGACATCATATGTGAAATCCATGGCTTATAACAAATGGGATTAGAAAACAGCGTTTTAGCCCCATTGACTTGCATTCATTTTTTTCGTTCTTCCGGGGACCCGTGGTCTGGAAGTAGATGGGCGTGGCTTAGGCTTCCTATATGATCTGAGCGCCGGTCAGCACTAACCAATCACGTAAGACTACCGTTTACAGTAGTTAATCACAGAGCATGCTCAATCGTTTAAGAACGTACCTCGGTTAATGCAGAGTTGCGACCTTGCTCATGGACAAGTAAGTCTTTAAAATATAAATATATGAAAACACAAGATAACATCAGCATCATAATTGTAAAACAATGTGTTTTAGCTTTGTTTTGTTGCCTACAGGTGGCGTAGCTTTTGGCTGTAAACGTGGATGTGAAAGAAGGTCATGGTGTGATACGCTTGTAAGCCACTAGATGGTGTCATCAGCTAAAAGAAAAAACATAGACAGCTACTTTAATGTGTTTCCTACTTCTCCTCCTACTGGTTGAAAGTAGAATTACAACAGTTGTAAACAACCCTGCCACAGCCTCAAACGCGTGTAGGCCGCGCCAATGATCACGCTGGTCTTAGCTCTTTGCTTTACCTTAAAAAACATTACTCTTTAACTTCCAGGTTCCTCTTTGATGACAACAAAAAATCTATATTCTTCCTCTTCCTCTTCTTTGTGGTAGACGAACTGAAAAAGCAAACTGATAGACTTTATATGAGCTTTCGGCACAGTAAACTCCACCACAGCCATTGCTCTTACCTGAACCGCCAATCTGTTACGTGGTCAGCAGAGGGCTACAATGTGAAGTTGCTCAAGAACCACTGAAACCAGTTTGAAAGCAGTAGCTTAAGCTGTTAAATGAGCCAGAACGTGCTATTTTAAACATCTGAGAGCAAAGGTAGTCACAATGAATGATAAAATATCCCCGTTGGCACTGTTTAGATGTCATTTTATCTCAAATGCGAGCCTGAATTCATACTCGGAACTGAAACGGTTTGTTTCAGCAAAGATCTGCTCACGCCTGCTCCAACAAACGTGCTTACAACAGCATCTTAGGCAAGGCTACTGTTGTATCGGACTTGGTAGTCCATAGGTTAAAGCATCTGCCTTTCGTCTCGTTTTGCCATGAGCCGACAGCCGTTTGACTCCTGGTGTCGGCAGTGATCTATTTAACCAGCAGAAGCAGATTTCATCTATTTATATTTTACTTTTATAATTTTCTGCTAAATATTTTCTGTCTCTAAAGATCTTTGAGTTTAGTCGTTTCTAAGCAGCGTTTTAGCTGATACTCTGCTCACGTCACGTAGACTCACGCTGGCTAAATAAATAGAGAACAAAATATTTTAGTTCTTATATTTTAAAGAGGTAGTCAATAAAGGATTGAAAACACAATACTGGTGTACAAGTGTAGCTAAAAAATAAGAAAAAAGCTACTGCTGAGACGGGGAGGTGAACCTGTGCAAAACTATATGCCAGCCCAGCACTCCTACCTCAGGACTTCCGATTCTGTTACATAACAACAGTCGCCTAACACACATGTCCTGTGCTGGCCATATGTACATCTTTCTAGACAGGAAGTGGTTTCTACAGCGGTGTTTTGTCTCTGATGCAGAAGCAATTTGTCAGAATGTCCACAGAATATTCAGGTTTCAGAACTGAGACCAGACCAGCCTTAAGGGGAGTAGAAAAGCCTGGTGACCTTCTTCCATTTGCAGTAAAATCTTTACATCGACCCAATTGCAGCTGAGACAGGAAAATGCATGAATGCAGCCAGTCGTCAATATAACGTGGTTAAAAGCTCCAAAAAGTGGATTTTCCATGATCTGGAAGCTTTAAAAGCTCTTTAGTGTTGCTTTAAGAGCTGATCCGCTGTAGCTCAGACTTTACAGCCTGCAGAGCCTTTGCAGACCCAAACCTGAACAAAGCAGAATTTACTGAGCTGGATCAGCAGCCTTTCTCAGTGGTAGGAGACACCAGACTCTGCTCACTCACACCTGGAGCCTCACTGCAGGTAATAAATAGATAAACCAACAAATCAAGTAATAATAATGCATCTCCGAACACACAAGGTTACCTGACACACACCACAAATCTCAGATTTAATGTAGCATTGAAGCAAAACTCTGGATTTAAATGAAACCAGTCTGCTGCTCCTCTGGTGATCTTAGGCCTTCTCACCCGTGGGACATCAGGAACAAACTCTGTGTATCTGTGGCTCCACCCTCCCTCTAGACCCCCTCCCCCAAGTCTTACAGCAGTGATGTAATGGTGACCAAGTCCTGAAATCCCTTAAAAACATAAAGGAGAAAAAAAAAACGCACAATGTATAGTTGATGTATAGATGTTGTACTATACTTGTCTGTACGATATCTTCTATGGGAGCTGTCTGCTGGACCATCGTGTTACTGCATCTGTACTATAGACCACACTCTACAGTATCATCACACATCTGGGCTGGTTGTGGCACAGCTGGAAACATAGTGGCTTAAGTCATTGTCACTTGTCCGTAGCTGTCTTAATAGTCGTAGTGTTTAAACTGAAAAAACAAAACAACGTGAGCAAACTGAGCTGTCCCGCGCCGTCCGGCCGCCACGGTGCCAGAACCAACCCACACTACGCCGGTGGGTTACCGGCCCAGCTCAGACCCAGAACCTGACACCTGTCAGGTGTCAGGTTCTGGGTTTAGACTTGTGTCTCTGTACTTCTGTTGTTTCTCTATGAACTGTACTGTGAAACTGCCTTAGGAAGCTAAGATCATAACACACTGCTCATTCAGAGAGGTGGAGGGGGGAGGAAACACCTGAAGCCCAGAAATATGAGGCAGAAAACACATTTTCTTTTCTTTCTTGTGTTTTGGTCATTACTCAAATCGACCAGCAGAGGGCAGAGTTTGATAAACACATTTATTTTACTTAATTCCCAAGTTGGAGTAAATTCCTCGTAGGTTTAGTCTTTCATTGACATTTATTAAGACTAAATAAAAAAACTGGAAATGTTTATTAGATTAAAGCTACTCGTATAAACTATTAATAATCACTAAATAAAAAAGTGACTAATTTCTAGCTAGACAGGAAGTGTCTTCTAATCTTTATAAAAGGTTATAGTAATAATATATAATGTTATTAACACTTTTAGCAAACAAAAAAAACTTTTTATAAGGTTTATTTAGTTAATTTTCCATGAAATTCCTTAAGTCTTACAAAAGAAAACACAAAAACAACAATCATAATAATTCCATTATCTGGTTCTTTTCTGAACAGATTAACAGAAAGTTGTTATTTGTCTTCTTGCTACGATTATTTTAAAAATAGGATTTCCCAAATTTGATTTTCTCTTTTCTCTTTCTGGGCTTCAACATATTTTTTGTATTCAAAGAATACTTTTAATTAATATTGCTTTGTCCATAGTGTTGTTTTATTTTGATTAGTTAGTTTAAATCATGAGAAAAGTTTTATAAAACGTTACCTGAACATGTGTACTTTATTTTAAATCAAAACAAACCTTGGTAAAGTGTTTTGGCTTGACAAATGTCTCTGTTTAGTTGTATTGGGGTAATTCAACTTTTTTTTTATCTTTAGCCTGAATGGAGAGACACTAAAATATCGAATCTGAGTAAAATCCGCGGTGGAACGACTCGTTTTGAAAGGATTGTGTTGATTTTTGTAAAGTAGTGTTGTGCTGCTGCAGCTCTGGTCCACATATCAGTAACACACTGCCACCTGTCAGCACTGCGCCATCATCCTGTGTGTGTGTGTGTGTGTGTGTGTGTGTGTGTGTGTGTGTGTGTGTGTGTGTGTGTGTGTGTGTGTGTGTGTGTGTGTGTGTGTGTGTGTGTGTGTGTGTGTGTGTGTGTGTGAGATTTATAAATCATGATGTGACAGGGTTTTCTGTGTAAATGTGAAATCCTGGATGAGGAAGTGTTGTTCAGGAGGAGAGGGAGGTATGTTAAGGTGTCCTCCTAAATGTTTCTGTCCTGGACTCTAGTGTTTGTTGTCCTCCTCTCTTTTCTAGCGTTCATTCGCCTCTTCTGAAGGTCTCCTCTCTCTGCAGAGGCCATGGTCGGGCCTGGTTTTGGTTGGCTCCCACCTACTCCTCTCATTGTTGTGGTTTCTTCAGCAAAGCTTCTTCTTTCTCATGCTTCCATTCACATGCTTGTAACTAAAAACCTGATTTCAGCTGCTCTTAGAGACGTTGTTCTAAACACATTGTGGATAAATTGGGATGTTTTTCACTCTTGACAATGATTTACCAGAACAACCTGTTACATCTGTCTATTCCTGTTTTATGCTGGTGTTTGTAATTCTCCTTTCAAACCATAACTGAGTGATTAGACAAACCAAAAGGTG